TTGGTGATCAGGAGAGGCATTTCTGGTTGGTGACACTGTTGGGTGAGCAAAGCAAGTGAAAAGGCTATAGTGTTGTCTTAGTCTGATCAGGTGACCATACACCAGGTGGCTTACAAACCACAGAGATTTATTTCTCCCAGTTCTGGAAGCTGGGAAATCCAAAATCTCACACCAGTGAGAGCCTGCTTCCTGGTTCATAGACCACTGTCTTTCGCTGTGTCCTTACATGGTGAAAGACCGGGGATCTCTGGGGTTCTTTCTGTGAGGCCACCCATTCTATTTGTGAGGGCTTTGCCCTTATGACCTGATCACCTCCCAAAGGCCCCACACCAAAATACCAGCACATTGAGGATCAGGTTCCAACATGAATTTGTGGGGCAGGGGAAGACAAATAGTCTATAACAAGTAGGTAGTGTAAATACAGCTTAATATCATTTGTGTTTTTAAAATACATGCAGACAGGCCTCGGTATTTCAGTAGGGATAGATAGATAGATAGATAGATAGATAGATAGATAGATAGATAGATAGATGTAAATGTACTAAAACAGTCCAGAACAATAAACTATCACCTTGCCTCTGGCAAGAGAATTGAAATATTTAATCTGTATAAGGGGAAGTAAGCAAAAGAAGTGTTCAGAGGGAAATTTATAGCATCAAATGCACAGGTTAGAAAAGAAGATCTGAAATCATTTATCTAAAGTTTCCATTTTAGGAGACTAGACAGAGAAGAGCAAATTAAATCCAAAGTAAAGGAAAAGAAATGATAAAAATGACAGCAGGAGTCCGTGAAGTTGAACACAGGAAATCAGTGGAGAAAATCAACAAAAGCTGGTTCTTTGATAATAGATTTTATATATCTGTTTTATTTTATCAGTAAAATCGATGAGCCTCTAGTCAGGCTAACTAAAAGAAAGGAGCAAGGATACAGATGACTAATACCAGAAATGGAATCGAGGATACCACTACAGATCCAGGGACACTCAAAGGATAATTAAGGGATACTGTGAACAACTCCATACCTACAGATTTGGTAACCTACATAAAATGGACCAATTCCATGAAAAATACAATCTGTCAAAACTTACACCAGAAGTAGACAATTTGAATCGACCTGTACCAATTAAAGAAACTGAATCAGTAATTTATAACCCAGAAGATCTTGGGTTTGGCCATGGCTTTTTATATACAACACCAAAGGGTAAGCTGGATTTCATTAACATTAAAATTTTCTGCTATGAGAAAAACACCACCAAGAGAATGAAAAGCCACAGAGAGGTTGTAGAAAATATTTGGAAAAGACATAACTGATAAAGGACAGTTAGCTAAAATACACAGAAAACTCTTAAAGTCAACAGTAGTTTCTTACTGTTGGTGACCCAATTTAAATGAGCCAAAGTTCTTTGTAGATACCTCACCACAGAAGATATACACATGGCAAATAAGCATATAAAAAGATGCTTCACATCAGGGAAATCCAAATTAAAGCAACAATAAGATCCCACTACACACCTATTAAAATGGCCAAAATCCAGAACACTACTACCAAATTATGCCAAGGATGTTGAGCAGGAGGAGATCTCCGTCTTCGCTGGTGGAAATGCAGAAAGGGGCAGCCACTTTGAAAGATAGTGGCTTTCAAAAATTAAGCATATTCTTCCCCTAAGATCCAGCAGTTGTATTCTTTGGTATTTAGTCTGAGGAGTTAAACACTTAAGTCCGTACAAAAACCTGCATATGGATATTTAAAGCAGCTTTATTTGTAATTGCCAAAACTTGACAGTAACCAAGTAGCCAAGTTACCTGAAAGTAACCACATGCATTGGTATGTAAATGGATAATTAAGCTGTGGTATGGTACAGACAGTGGAATATTAGCACTAAAAAGAAAGGTGCTGACAAGCCATGAGAAGACATGGAGAGACATAAATGCAAATTACTGAGTGAAAGAAGCCGGTCTGAAAAGGCTACCTACTGTATGATTCTGAGTATAGGACATTCTGGAAAAGGCTAAGTTATGGAGACCATGAAGAGGTCAGTGGTTGGCAGGGGTTAAGGGGAGTAGGTAGAGCATAGAAGATTTTTAGGAAATTGAAACTACTCTTTGATATTATACTGGTGGATTCAACCCCGACTACCGGGAGTGCACCCTAATGTAAACTACGGCCTGAGGATGATCATGACGTCCCATAGAGTAGTTTCATTACTTGCAACAGGGATACCACACTAGTGGGGGATGTTTATAATGGAGGGGGCTATGCATAGGTGGGGGCAAAGATAGTATCCAGGAAATCTCTACCTTCCTCTTTTGCTGTCAAAGTTTCTAAAACAAAAAGTCCATTTAAAAAGTAGTGAAAGAAGAGTATATTGTGTAATTAAAGTTAATTTTATAGAAAACATGGTTAAGTGTGGGGACAGTGTCAGGAACAACAAAAACTTAAATACAGACACAACTTAACAAAAATATACAAGGTATGTATGTAGAAAATTATGAGCCTTCAAGATCATAAGTGAAACTCTGAATAGCTGGAAAAGAAGACTTCATGTTCCTGTAAGGAAAGAGATTGCAAAGTTGCTTCTTTTCACATTATTAATAAACGTAATGTGATCTTCATCAAAGTCCTGGTAGGGCTTCTGGGAGAAACTTAGAAACTTTATTGAAAGAGTAAATGTGCAAGAGACAGCTAGAGATGTTTAAAAAGAAATAAGAATAATGAAGGAAACTTACCCTATCAGCTGTCAACATGCAGCAAAAAGCTTTGAATCCAGTGATGGTCGTGGTGCAGGATTCTGACAGACAGACCAGTGGACCAGATTAGAGGACTCAGCTTAGCATGCTTGTTGGTGCCATACCTTGTGAGTTCTAAGACAGGTTTTCCATTGTAAGATCTTTGACAATAGGATTCATTTTACAATTAATGTAAACTATGATGATCAGCTTTTCTTTCCTTCTTTTCTCGTAGAAGATACATGACAGGGCATCTTAAAATTTGGGATATCTTGGGGGCCTGGGCGGCTCAGTGGGTTAAGCGTCCGACTTTGGCTCAGGTCATGATCTTGCAGTTAGTGGGTTCGAGCCCCACGTCAGGCTCCGTGCTGACAGTCAGCTCAGAGCCTGGAGCCTGTTTTGGATTCTGTGTCTCCCTCTCTCTCTGACCCTCCCCTGCTCTCGCTGTCTCTCTTTCTTTCTCAGAAATAAATAAAACATAAAAAAAATTTTTTTTTTAAATCTGGGACATCTTTAGATGGAATGAAATATCATGAAATCAAGTATACATAATACACGCACCCCATATATATATACACACACACCCCTATGTACTCACGCACCCACACATGTGAAACCCATGAGACCCAACTCAGAAACCCCTCTAAGTTTTACAGTAGAGTCTTACCTGCAGTCGTGATATTTGTCTTTCTTGGGCACATTCTGACTGATTGCTTTAATGATACAGGGAAAAGGGATTGTAGAGTAAAGTTCTAAATCTTGGAAGATATGCAGGATTTCACGAAGTCTCCAAAAATGATGTGGGAGAAGTATTTAATTCATCTACAGCCATTGGCAAATAAAAATTTGTTTTCTTTTTTCAAGCTAAAATCCCTATCAAGACTTTTCTTCATAATTTATCAGAAATTTTGATCTTCATTTTATGTGTATTCACTTAAAATAGTGAAGACAAAATATCCTACTTATTGTACAGGTGGTATTTGAACAGAAAGCACACTATCAGAAAAGTAATGGGATAATGACTCTCTTTTCTTGACGAAGTAATAACTTGGGTTTCTGCCTCATGGACACAGATTTCATAGAGGTGAAATTTCTGCACATGGAAAAAATAAAAATTCCAGAAGAAAATACAGGAAAATAGTTTTTAGAAAGCCCAAGTCTTAAAGCATGCTCGCTCAATAAGAGTGCTGTTGTCCCTGAGGTGGCATAAAAGGGTGCACAGGAAGTGAGAAAAGTCTGAGCTGTTACAGTGTTTATGGCCCTCTGAAGGGCCACTATATACATCAACAGATACGCAGTGTACTTGTGGTATTAAAATTTCATGGAGAGGGAGGCATTTAGGGGGGGAAATATCTCTCAAGACTTCTTAGTAGAGGTGATAGTGAAAAACAGTCAAGAAATGTTGCCAGAGAGGAAGTGATAGATTCTATAGTGTGTGTGTGTACATATAAATTATTGATTACAAAAGACACTGTAAACCAGATTAAAAGGTGAATGACAGATTGGGAGAAAAGAGTTTTCAACTTATGTAATGGACAGAGGAGTGTACCTTTAACGTATTGGTGTTCCCACAAATGGTTAACCCAGAAACAACTCAGTAGAAAGAAGGGCAGAGGATAGGGAGTTAGGTTTGGTTCATTTAGTGCAGTGCCTCCATTCCTCAGTTTATTTGGTGTTTATTAGATGTGAATGACCATCTGTATTTCAAAAGGAATTACACATAACACCTTGAGGGGCCCCTTCTGTTTTCGATGTGTAAACTCTCAGAGGTGTGTCACCACAGAGTTGGAACAAGCAGTATGCCATGGAAAAATCCGTTTAGTTTTTTTCTTTGTTATATTGTACTTTTTCCTGACTTCCTAAACGAATCATATCATTGACTTTATCAGTTTCCCTTTTAGTGAATATGGGAGCGTATTGTATTTACAACCGAACTTAAATTTTTTTGTTCTAACAAGATGATTTTGCCTATTTTGTGTGTGTTTATTTAAAACAAGTTAAAGAAATTCTCATGGTGAAATAAATAGCAATATTTTATCAGATATAAAGTGTTTTATATTGATGAATATGAAATTGTAAATATCCTGAATATTTACATGTTAAACATGCTGACCTAAATGTTAAAATAACTATATATTAATTCTGTTTTGTTATTTTAAGGTTAACCAGAATTATAGACCTGTCTTAACTTCAGCTAACTACAGCTATTTGCGCTCTCTCTCTCCCATGTATATTTTTATTTTTGTTTATTTTTTTCACCTGGCTTTTTATTAGCGATCCAGTGGGGAGAAGATGGCCGTCCATTTCATTTTCTCTTTTATACTGGCAAACAGTCATATTATTCATTAATGCATGTAAGTATATTACACTTATGATTAATATGAACTGTAAGGTAAGTGACTAATTATACCAGAGATTAGTCAGCTTTAGAACTTACCTTGTATGTTTCACATTGAACTAAAACTTAAGATGTCTAGATGTGAGGCAGTATGTTGAAAGGCTTTATATTTTATTAATTCATTTTTGCTAATGGTAAACATCATAGAATTTATATCAGAATGGTTTGGCCTTAAAATGCTCACAAACTGAGATCATTTTAGGAGACTGGCACTCAACTCTGTAATCAAGCACCTGTGTGCATTGAAGGTAAGATGCGAAGCAGGAAAGGAGACCAGTGTATGCTGCTGTCAGGGGCTGTAAGGCATTGAACGTAGGAGAGAGTCAGATTGTTGTCTGTACTTTTTGTTTATTCGCATATAATTTTTGCTTTTCAGAGGCGAAGGTAGTGTAGGAGTCTAGAATCTGTGACTCCTAGAGACCTAAGAAATGATTGTATTCCCCTTTGCTTACAGCTCCATTTGAGTGTCCTGGGACCTGCTTTTATTTTGTTTCAGGGCTATAAGTGTTTGATGGCAAATTTGGGAATTCCCTAAGGGACCAGGAATAAAAAGACCAGATGCTAATATCCAGTTTTCAACAACAGAACCCGTTTCACCATAAGAACACGATGTCAGGTTTTATTTTCTTCATTATATGATTTTTAAAAGTCACAGGAACATTCACCGGGCTTTCCCCCAACCCATCCTCAGCCGGATTTCAGGCTGCTTGCATCCCAGGCACACATTCACTCCGCTCTTTCAGAGCGCTCTGGTGTTTATTTGTGCTCCACAAACCCAAAGGACAAAATCCCCACTTGTCAGGTACATTTATTTCTTGGGGAGAAGAGGGGAAAATAAAAAAAGAAAAGAAAACCTTCTTTTCGCTTTTTGTTGACCTTGGGCAAATGAGCTTCTTGCCCTGGCAGAAATGAAATGAATGATAAATGTAGAGTGTGTCTTTGCTGAGTAATGGAGCCTCGGCTGGCTTGGCGCCGAGCTCCTCCGCCTGCCCGAGGCCGCCCGGGGCCCCCCGCTGCTCATTTAAATAGGTATGTCAAATCTGCCTCCCAACGCCGCCGGTTTGATCTGTGGTAATATTTGTGAAGGTTCCATATGGACTTGAGCCCCCTGCAGTGCTAAGAAATAATGTACAACGCTTCATGGTGCAGACGCAAATTTTCTCTGAAAAGGGATGCAATGCTGCGCTTTAGCTGTCGGAGGGGATGATGGAGCTGACGCGCTAGGCCTGTCAACTTGTTACACGGATGGGTTGCACGCAGCGAAGCTGTGGAAAATCTGTGCCTTTTAACTTTTCTACTTAATCACGGTTGTAGCATTGCCTTTAGACTGTATGCTACATTAATTCTCTTCCTGCCTTCTGCCTTTCATCCCAAGTTTCACGGAAAAAAGTAACGCACGCAGGTCTTGTAGAAGAGCCTTATCAAACAGCTGTCATCTGACAAGCCATTTGCATGTGTTTGGGCTGAAACTGAGCAACCCAAGGGCAAGATATTTTGTTGCGTTCCATCATAATGAAGAAATTAGACATTGTAGAAGAGGCCTAACTTTTATTTGGGCTGGTATGCGTGTTTTAGAAAGGTGCTGCTCAAAAAACTGAAGGCTTTCTCAGTCGTAAAATACTACCGTACTCTGACCGAAATGTCAAAGTGCGTCTGATTAATGAATGTTTTTTTTCCTTTTTGGGTAATTCAGCGTCTGTCACATAGAGCAGAGTTCTTTGTGCTTCTCTGTTTCCGTTAAATTCAGTAATTTGGGTCCAGTTTGGTTCGTCAGATGTTTTGAGTCCCCAAGCAGTGTGGGGCTTCCTTAGCCCACACAGACGAGTCACAAGGCTTCGGGCTTAACTTGAGCATTTTAATTCAGATAATTAATAAACCCTTGTATTCCCCAAACTTTTTTTAAATGGAGTTTTAAGGTAAACTCGTGTATGGAAAAAAAGATAAATGCTTTCCTAAGTATGTGCCAGTTACTTTAGCATCACATGGCCAGTTTTATTAGTTTACACCTGGAGTCCCCCTGCCTCGTTTTCCAGATTATCCCAGATACTCTCTGTTGCTTCGAAACAGGACATGACTCAATATTCACTGACTGGTCACTTTATAGAAGTGGGTCTGTGGGGAAGTCAGCACTGGGTAGAAAGTAAAAGGTTCAAACTTGAAGCTGCTTCGTGCATTTGTCGGCTCCTTTGTTCTGCCCTCTCAGAGGGGCGTGGGTGCTGTTCCATTCCATGGGAGAGCGACCCCCGGGCAGCAGGGACCTGGCTATATAGACCAGGGCCGGCATTAAACCCTTGGAAATGTATCATTGTAACCACGTCTCTTTGTTGTAATTTCTTACCTGCGGGACCAGATAACAGACCAAAGTAGGCCAAAGTAGGTTTTTATCCTTGGCCAGCTGTAATTGTGTGAGGCGTGGCAGTCCAAGCAAAAGCAAAACTCAGAAAAACCCCCACAGATCTAGGCCATGTATGCAGTTCTGCCAGGACGTCTTTCTGACAGCAGTTAACCTTTTTATCTTCTGTAATAATGCCAATTCCTCTTTCCAGAATTTGGTCACCGTATAGGAAGCTTGTATGTTACCTCCTAGCCATGAATACAAGAGTTGTGGTGTGGCTTACAGTGAGGGAGAACATAGAATGCTTTAGTACACACTTTCCCACTGGCCTGTCATTAGCCCAGCCTGGCCTTGTGGAGGAGCGGGGAGGGTTTTGAGGGAAGATGAGGATGAGAAGAAAGCAATTTATTGTTCCCGGAAGTGAAGTATGATAGGAAAGCGCAAAGTGGAGGAAACGTGCCGATCCATGGCGTTCTCAGACCTTGTAAACATGTTTTACGTTCTAAAGGTTGTTAGTTCCTTCATCGGAACTCCCTTCTTCCTACAGAGACAATGTAAGTTCTTGGGTTCCTGGGAAAGTCAATAAAAACCCATTTCTTTTACCCAATGGTGAATATGGTGTACATATGTAATGTAAAAAGTATAGAACAGTACAAACAAGTCGTGTCTTAGGCAGTAAAAAGTAGTTTACGAAAGAAGAACTCAGACACTACAGGAGTTACTCCAAGGATGGCCGAGTACTGGACAGAGAGCTCCATGCTTGCTTGGCACTGGCTCATCTGTCTTTTTTCGCCCAAAAGGATGGCTTTCCATTTCCTTAATAGCCGTGTGATGAGTAGCACTTGTATACTTTTCAGACATGATATAGAGTTTCAGTTTAGGATTTTAGCGGCGGCAGGAGGAAGCAGAGAGAGAATGAGAGAAGTTTCCTGAAACAACGGAGCCCAAGTGTAAAGGAAAGGGAAGAGGTTTTAAAGCGGATACATGTGTTTGTGCAGAAAAGAAAATGCTATCTCTTGGACCGACCAAGCTGGAAGTAGCCGAGGGCTGGATGAGGGAGAAGACAGTGTGTCCGTAGTTAAGGGATGGGCTGGAAGGGTGGTCTGCCTTTCGGTCGGCCAGCCGCCCAGAGCTACGTACACCTCATCCACAACGGCCAGGCCAGGCCCATCGTGCTGGTGGCAAAGAAGTCTGGACCCATGAGCAAGACACCTGCAGCCTAGACGGTCATGGCCGAGTTTGGGCAGGGCCTTTAATTGTAGGAAAATGCTAATTCCATGTTACTAGTCAATACATACACGTTTTTGAAAAATTTTTAATTCATTCACTAAAAGTGAGTTGAAAACTATTTAAAATTCACTGTGGGAGGTGATTATTTGGCTCTGAAGTGGGAAACCCTGTGTAAAATATGATTCATAAAGTCCAGGCATGTCTACTGCAGCCTGTCCCAAAGTGGCTGCTGAGAAACACAAGTTCTAAACTATTCTTCATGAAAGAGGTTCTGAAACTGAGTCTGGCCAGGCTGCGTCCTGCATCCTGGGGTGCTCTAACGAGGAGCTACGGGCAGCATGATAAAGAAGCCTGTTATAGTAACCCACCACTGCTCAAACATCAGGTCACAGAACCCTTTTAATGCCCCATGAGGCCAGTGCTTGGGAAAGGCCGTCTGATGTTGCACCCAGTTGTCAGATACCTTAGGCATTTCCTGAACTTTTACTGAGGCTCCCTCACCTGGAGTTTGAAGATAAGATTGTGCATCTCTAGAAACAGCTCTGGGAATTGAGCCCTTTACAGAAGCCTCATGCTTCAGGACTAGTTTTACAGTAAACAATGGATGATTTTCAAAGTATTTCTCTAAATTGAAGGAATTACGTGGCCACATACGAAATCTGTACCCAAAAAAGTATGAAATTAAGGACCAAGTAGATCATTATATATTTAAACTATTCTGCTTAAGTAAAAAAAAGAAGGGTTAAAATTTGAAAGAAAATCAAGTAATTCTAATCCTGATAATTTACGCATAAATGGGATTCATTTGCCTTTTGAAAGAAAACTGGCTTATTTAGAAATTCCCTGGTTTATTTTAAATGACTTAAGTAACCCTCTGTATTTATAAAGCAAGAGAATGACAGCCCCAGAAGCATGCGGCTTTGTTACGGCTTTGTTACATGAAGATTCCAGATCCCCAATAAGCAAAAGTCCTGGGGATTTAGTACCACAGAATTCTTCCACCGTTTACATCTTCTTTGTACCCCTGTGGTGAATATTTAAAATTTTTGATATAGTGTCCTTATCTTTAAAAATGGAGTTAAAAAGTGATCCTTTTCACAATGAGATATCATGAAATAACTCCCTTAAAACTATGCAAAGGGCTGATTTTTAAAAAGCTACCGATTGGTGCTGACATGATCTCTGCATGCTCTTTTAAGACTATACTGCTATATAATATTCACAGAGTGATAGCAGGGGTCTAGGATAGCAGTATGTCACTTGGAATATTAGATAAATAGCAGTAACTATAATAAATGAATTATATATTATGTTTGTTTCATTTCATTTTATATATGCCAGTAGCCAAGAAATTGGGAAGGTTGCTAGTTAGGGAATTGATTTTTCTGTGATTTTTTCTTTAACAAATACATATTTTAAGTCTCTTACTTTTCTCTGATTTAACTAATATCTAAGATGACAGTTACTATTAGTTTATTATTGTATGTTTTGGGTATCAAAATACAATTGACTTCCTCTACCACCCCCGCAAGAAATGTTATTTGTTTACCCTTCCTAAAATTGGAATTTCTACATGATTAATACAGCCAAAACAGATTTTAGAAGGATACTAAAAATTATACTGCTTATGCTCAGGGAGGGTTTAGTTTTAAGTCTCCTTTTTCTGCAACCTGAGCATCTGGTATTTTCAAATTAGGCACCTTCTAAATTTGACTCATACATTATGGAAATCTGATGACACGAGGGGTGGATAGGCTTGCTTTGATTTTATGAAATATTAATCATAGCTGTGATTAATGATTCAGCATTTCACATCTGGGTTATTCCTGTAATATTTGAAAATTATACTATTAAATACAGTATATAAACTTAGTGTAGGTGGGGTCACTGTTATTCTCTAATGTCCTTTAAAAATTAAGTGGAAACTTAACAATATACCAGAAGCTACCAGTGATAATCTGTGATGTTGACAGTTCCTGACATATTTTGTACCCTCAAGGATTTTTAGATGCACATTAATACACGTCTCTTCAGGGAGTTGAAGCTATAAAATCTACTTTCCAGAGAGCTGTTGTCTCTAACTAACCAAGATAGAATCTCAAGAGCAGTTTTATTATATAGAGAAGAGAAAGAATAAATAGAACTGGTACACCAGTAAAATTGTTTCAGTTGTTAGGCTCTTGAGTGCCATACCTCCCCCCTGCTGTCACTTCTTGACCAATACAGGTCAGGCACTGGGCTGAGTACTTGACACGTGTTTTCCTGTTTGAAGACGTATATGGGGTGGTGTAATAAGAATTGTGTAAATCGATGGGTTACAACCATCAAAGTATAAGCATCTGCCGTAGGTAAACAGAATGTACCTGTTTGAAATTTGACGTGTACTTTTCATGGGTTGTGTTTCATATTACACATTTTTTTGGATTATTTCACTTGCAGTATTTAACAAGTTATTATGGTGCTAAATATAACCCTGGAAGGTAATGATAGTACAGGGGAAAAAACGGGTACAAACAGTCAAATGAGGCTGAGCCATGATTCTTGCGAGAGACATTGTAAACTTTTAAGTTCAGTAGTGGGCACACATAGTATGTGTGGGTGATTCACATTTGCTTTTGCTTTCTTTGGGATGGACCGTTGTAGTTCTGATGCATTTGTATGTTAGATATAATTGTAGTCATTGTTATACTTAATATGGATGCTAGAGTAGAATTAACTGATTTTGCCCCTTCACCATAGTATGTTGACCTAGACTCTTGGTACTTCTAGTGTTTAGATAGATCCAGAGTGCAGTGTATACCACTTGGGATCATCATTAAAACAGGTCACTGGGTGCCACCTCAGAGGTTCCTCATCTGAAAGTACAGGCTGGGACCCAAGAAATTATATTTCTAACCAGTTCTAGGCTTGCGTACTGCTGCTGCTTCCCTGGGCATTTACCTTTAGAATTACTGAGCCGGTGATGGTTTCACTTTATTTGAGATACTCGTCTACACTGTTAACATACGCAGTGGTACATACAGAGACTGGGGCATAGAGACACTTAACCCTTTTCCTAGAACAAACCGGAACATATGTAGAGAGAGAGCAGTTTAATCGGAGCCCACATGAAGTTGCACCACAGAAATTTGAAATTCTTAAGACTAATATATGGATGGATATGTCCATCAGTAATAAGTTGTGTCTTCTTTATCTGACATTACCTAATGATATTGGAAGGGGTCATGATCAGCAAGAAAGAAAAGTCATGTCATCTCTAGCTCATGCTTTGAAAATGTCTACTCATTAGGTGTCAGTATGGTAGATGATATTAAATTATAAATGAATACACACGTATTGGATGTGAGTCCTCAATTAAATTGGCTCAGTCAAAAAACTGGGAGACAATTCGCATGATTCTACTTTTGTAAACTTATTTCTTGGAAAGTGTATTTTATTGATAATCTTCATTGCCAGTTTATTGCTTTTTACAAGTTCTAACAAAATGGCAATTTTTCCCGTTTGCATTATAATTTAACAAGTGACATACTCACAGACTTTGTTAGAAAGTAAATTAATGGAAAGAAATCAAAAAATGAAAAATAAATATAATAGAAAACTTTTTAAGATACAGACTAACATAGTGAGGACTTAAATATTATGTAAATATTGAGTATGAGATAAGTAGTTCAGCTGTAAATACCATAACTTTTATTGGTTAATTTCCCACATTTAAAGTGCATATTGCTATATAAATTATGATTATCTTTTACAGGATAATTTTTGGTCCTACTTGGTTTGTAGCTTTGTTTTGTTTTTACCAACTTCATTGGAATTTTTTTATATAGAGTTCTTTATAGAGTAAATTTCTTATAGGGTCATTTAAAAATCAGTTAAAGTATACTACTGTGTATGATACAATATTCCTTTAGTTTGAATGAGAAATAGTATAATTAAAAAAGCACTTTCAGTATTATTTGCTGTGCAGCTAGGTTATGTGAGGAGGTCACTTCTGAAATGAAGTCTGCTCACAGGGAAAGTAGGAAGTAGAAATAATAATGCATTGCATCTCTTATTTTAGTGTGTATATTTTATTTGCTACAGGAAGCATATGGAAAGCTACTAGATATAGAAAAACGTCAGAATCAGTTGCAAGCCAAAGGTCTATTTTCAGAAAACACTAAAACAAAGTAAGTTCTTCTCTTGAATGAAAACATGAAAAATTTGGGGCTCCTGGGTGGCTCAGCCAGGTAAGTGTCCAACTTTGGCTCAGGTCATGATCTCATAGTTCCTGGGTTTGAGCCCCACATCAGGCTCTGTGCTGACAGCTCAGAGCCTGGAGCCTGCTTTGGATTCTGTGTCTCCCTCCCTCTCTTAAAAATAAATAAACGTTAAAAAAAAAAAAAAAAACATGAAAAACTTGAAAAAACATGACATTTGTCAGTGGTGTTTTTTAGGTATATTTAAAGCCTAGCATTTTGATCAATATTTCAGCATTAATCATTAAAGTTAGGAGTCAGAACAATAGGTGAGTTTTTTGCTTGGGAGGAACTGGATGTTAAAGTTATTTTTATGTTACTGCATTCCAGATTTATGTATTAAATGGCACGTCATTTCTATATTTGAAGATGTCCTTAGAATTTTTGTTTATATAGCTGCCTATTTACTGAAATACCGAAAACAAAGATTTGGACTTCCATTTGGCAGTGGAATTAGATTAGATCTACCATGAAAGATTCTGATAGATTAGATCTGTCAACCTGGCTATTTTGGCCTGGTTATTCGCTTAACTTTTTCTTAGGCAGAAGACACAATTGTTTGAGCATCCCTTGTTTAAGTCGTGAATCCTACCCTTAACTCTTTCGACTTTATTACTACTTTGGTCCATTGACAGGCTAACTTTGTGTCCATAACTTCTCCTCTGAAGTGAATTATGAAAAATAAGCACGATTTTAATGTTTGAGGAACCTGGTACCTTTTAGTATCACATAGTTCCACAGTGGCATGTTTAAGTCCTCAAACAAACATTTGCTAGACTGTGTATCTTTTTTCTAAAGTAGAATGAGGGCATGAACTGACACTTCTCAGAAATAGTTTACTTGGGTTTTAATGCTTTAGAATACAAAATTTTGTTTTCCAATCAAGAATCGCTACTACATGTGGGATCTTTTGTGATAGAACTCTAATTGCATGGTTAATTTAAAAGAGAATATACGTGATATTTTAACAGAGACCTGATTGGCAGCAGATGGCTGATTAAGGAGGAACTAGAAGAAATGTTAGTGGAAAAACTGTCAGATCAAGATGTGAGTAATTAATCTTTTAAATTTAAGGGGACCTGTGCCGTAAAAACGCAGACAATTGCTGTGTTTAGGATCGTCCTAGTAGTGTTTCTCAGACGCAGGTATTCCTGAGACCGTTTTCCTTTCTTAGGCGTATTTTTGGTGACTTCTGCCACAGAGTCGTACTGTGGTCAGGAAGGTGACACGCCTGGTGTCCAGATCCTCCTGTGTAGCTGCCCTTGTGTGTCCCACAGTTGTTCTAGCGGCTTTGGCAGATGTTAGTTTTTACCTTCTTCGGTAAAGCAGATAGCCCATTTTTACAAGCTAATGGTAAGCGTAAGGAACCGTCACAGGTCAAGTGCGAAGAGAACGGAGCACTTGGTGACTTCCGTGCAGTCTGCTGCTCCCGGCTCACCTGTGTGCAGGGTTTGCAAGGACAGTAGTTTTCATCCTGGAGTCTGCAGCCCCACCTGCATCAGAGCTCTTAGAAATGCTGCTTAGAAAATGCAGTCTCCCAAGTCTCCCTGCTTAGAAACTCAGACCTCCCTCCGAGTTTCTAGGGGTGTGCTCCTGGAATTGCTGTTTGCAGCAGCTCCCCGGGGAGGATTCGCCCCTATAATGTTTGTGCTCCTGCTTGAGGTTTTAATTAGAGTCTTCTTTTGCCGAATGTTCTAATACATGCCAATATTATCAGAGGAGATTTGATGTTTTAAATATGCTGATGTTCTAAATTTAGATCATTTCTACAAGATTTGATGTAAATTTCACAGATTGTTCCAAGAAGGTTTTTTCTTCCATGGCACTGGCTAACATTGTTAGTACCTTGCCACCCGTGTTGATTTTAAGGCATGTACTTAAATTGCTCTTTTTCTCATTTAACATATTGGAGAAATTAATGATTTGGAAACATTGCCATTTGCTTAACAAGGTGTCAGGCAGTTGGTGAGCGGTGGATCTGGAGTTAATTTCTAATATCCTAACTGCCAAGTCGGTATTGCAGCCTGGATCTAACCGAAAAATCTCTCTTTGCTTCTTCATTGAATGCATCATTTCATTGTTTCCTCTGCTTTCTGGCTGCTTTGGTTTTTATACTACAAGTTTGGGGTTGTTGGTTGGGGTTTTTCCCCCATTTTGAAGACATCCCAAGGACTTCTTTACAGGTGTGCAACAGGAAAGAGAAAACAAATAGATACATTTTATATGCATATACATGATATATGTGTATCATATACGTAAGTGTGCATATGATAGTCTTCTACACTTTTGGGGTCCTGGATAGCAACAGAAATCCTGATACTGCCGGCTGGTACCAGGGTGGGGAAGGCAGGGACCTTATAAGCCTTCACCCCCGTCCCTGAGAAAGGCTTGCCGTACATGTAGGCCCTCCTTCATACACTCACAGTCGGTGTGTGGCGACATTGAGAGAAGCGCTGAGAGCTAAGGACACAGGTCTATAAGTGGAGGGCAGGAGCAGAGCTCTGTCAGGCCCGGTATCACAGGTGGCGAAGTATGTCACCCTTACTCAGAAAATTTCCTTCTCTTTTATGGTAACAGCCCCGGAAGCAGCGCCTAAAGCTGCCTGTTTAACCTTACTGGTGAGGTTTTTCCACATTTCCAATTGTTAGTGGCGGATAAAGTCCGAGGTGACAGAGGAGGATGGTTTTTAGGGTTGACAGAAACATAAATAAGCTTATCAAAAATTGGGTCTCACAATCCACATTAACTAAGGATCTCCAGTATTAGGTGTCTCCTACATAAACACTTTAGAGTGATTACTCGGGCTTCTAATTTTAAGGGGTTAATACCAAGTTGTTTACTTTCTAATCACATGTTGGAGAACTATTAAAAAAAACGCACAGAGTAGCAGGGATAATTTATTTCAAGAGGTTGCCCTTTAAGTCAAGTATCTCTTGAATTTTTAAATAGCTTGATTGTTCGGTTTTAAAGGAAATCATAAACATTAAAGTAACACAGCTTGAACAGCTAAAGATATATTTGCCAAATATATTATGAAATATAATTTAAGAGGTGCATTTTCTCAAAATCAGACTCTTCCCATTTTACTGTACATACTGGAAATTATTTTTGAACCTCCTCTTGATCCAGTTAATAAAAGAGTAGAAGTTACACTTGAAGATCATCTAAATATTTTTTTAAATGAATTTAAATCGCCGTTTCATTTAATAATAATAGAGAAATGGATTTTTCTTTGCCTGGTAAGTGTCTTTTGTTTCTTAAAAGAAAAGCTTGGGCACTGAGGATCCACAGGGAAAGGGTTGCATCTGCATGCTGTTTAAAAGCAGCATGAAGGTGCAGGAGTGTCATCCTGTCAAAATTCATCAAGAAAAGCAACATTGGAAAGATCAAGTCTACAAAAATAGAAAAAATTTAGCAAATGCAATTACACTTGCATCTTCTAATGAATTTTTATTTTATTGTCTGCAGTATGCACAGTTCATCCGGCTGTTAGAAAGGTTATTGACAGTGCAGTGTGGTGCCGAGGAAGAATTTGTGCAGCAGTTTCGTAGGAGTGTAACCATTCAATCAAAAAAACAGCTGATTGAACCTTTGCAGTATGACGAGCAAGGAATGGCCTTCAGCACAAGTGAAGGTAATGACATTCTGTGGAGAGAAAATAAATTTAGTAAAAACGGAGAAACTACAATTATTTTCATTTGCTCTTGCTCCCTGGTATTCATTTGATTCATTTGAGGGTTTTTTTCCTTTTTTTTTTTTTTTTTTTTTTTTTGCTGCAGCTACATTGGATTTTCTAATTTTTAAGGCTCTACTGAAGTTTTAAAAATCTGAACTGTTTAATGAATGTCCCAAGAAAAAATGTGGATGTGTACCTACCCAATCACGTTAACACTTTATTTTCACAGATTTATGTTACATTTTTTTATTTTCACCTTTTCAACTGCCAGAAAGAAAAGTTTATAATAAAGGTTCCCTATGGAAAATGAAAATGCTCAGGGAATCTGCTTGCCAGATACCGAATCTGTGAAAACGTGGGCCTTGCCTTGCTTCTTCCTCGTAGCCATGCTGACATTCGTTATGACACGGCTTTTAAGGACTGACCCTATTGAATGATAAATCTGCAGCTCTTCAGAATTGAAGAAACTGTGTTTTCAGAGAAATGGGACCTTTCCTCAGGATTCCTTTCATTTCCACCAATTATATTTTAGCATACCACTCATATATTTGCAAAAGCTATAGGATTAAATCCATTCTGATTGATTATAGAAGATTATTATAGAAGACAGTTATTGAAAATCATTGCGGTATTCCTAAAATGCAATTGAGGAACAAAATTACCCTGTAATAAGCTTTACTACCTCCATTAGGGTGTAGTTACTTGTTTTGTTTTTGTTTGACTTATAATAGTTATAGAATCTCCCTCTACCCCAGGTATATATTGTCATGGTGGGGGTGGGGGGGCTGTCTAATGTCATTCTACCTGTGTGAAAGCATTGGCCTAAAGGCCAAAGTCTTAAAAGATTTTCCTAATAGAAACTTTGTTTTTAAAGGTAGAAGAAAGAGTGCAAAAGCAGAAGCCATTGTTTATGAGCATGGAAGTGGAAGAATAAAAGTAAATGGAACCGATTATCTGCTTTACTTCCCAGTGACGCAGGACAGGTTAGTTTCTGGTTCTTCATTTGATTTTTGTCTTTATATTAAGGCGGCTTCTGATTTTCTGATTATATATGTCTGAATGATAGTTTATCTTTTCCAATGTAATTAATTTATCAAACTAGCTAGAGGGAAGCTATCACCGTTTTTTATGCAGCTTTCCGGATTTTGAAAAAGCATCTCTAAAATTCCTCATCAGTTGAATCTTCCTCCTCCCTTCATCAGCCCCTACTGGAAGTGGAGTATTTGGGACGTATCTCACATTCTGAAATGCAGACTATGCCAGAAAGAGACTACCACCTGTGTTTCCCCAATTGGGGGTGGGCGTGCACAAACCAACCAAAACCAACCTTGGCCCTTACCATTAGAAGTATTAGAAAAAACCCGCTTTGTCATTTTGGATTTTTTTCCTACTCAGAGATTGATTATATACTGAGCAAGCAAAGAAACCTGACATTTATGCGTTAAAATAAGAGCTCATCAGGCTTTGCTTTAGTTCCCAGTGCTAAATATGGCAACGTTAGTTTTTGAACTTTGTAGCCCATGGAGAAATAGACATTAATCATAACTAGGTATTACAGTTCAAGTCCTCTAAATATGCTCCTCTTAGATCTGTGAGTTACTATCCAAAGGCCTCTTTTGGAGACAGTTATGATTTCTATAGAAGTTATTCTCGTGACCCACAAGTAACACAAGTTGTACATGATTAGGCCCGTCTCTTTAATCCTCCTCTTCCCTGAATGTCTAAGAGGCTATTTAAGGTGAAAAGGGGCAAAGCTCTTAGGATCCCAATGCTTATTAAAAGAAAAGAGGACCCTGTTAGTGTAGAGCAAGCTTCTGGACTGAATACTTACTTCGGGAAATATATGTTTATTTTATTGCTTATATAGTCTGGGTCAAGGAGCAACTAACTCTGTTCAGCTCTCTTCAAATGGAGCAGACTAGTTCTGCCATCCCTCTGGCAGGGAGTTGGGTGGAGGAAGCTTTTCTTTCCCTTGAGAAAAGCCAAAGAGAGACCCAGAACTTGAACGGTGGGAAGTGCCTGGAGCAGTAGCATTTGACCCAGAACCTGTTAGTTTGCTTTCAGATAGAACTCCTGATGATTTAACAAGTCTCAGTTATGGCTTGCTCTCATAACTAAATGGTATCCTTCTGGGTATCCCCAGAACTTGTTCTTCACTCTGGATTCAGCAGGCATGTACTGAGGATTGCCCATGTGTGCAGTCTTGTTCTGGGCATTGGGAAGAGATCAGAGCTATTTAAGATACGATTTCTGTCATTAAGAAACTTATCTGGGAAGCCCAAAGCTAGTGTTGGCGGGCATGGGCCCCAGACCCTCTCATCTTTTTTTGTTTTATTTTTTATTTATTTATTTCTGAGAGAGAGAGAGAGAGACAGCATGAGCAGGGGAGGGTCAGAGAGAGAGGGAGACATAGAATCTGAAGCAGGCTCCAGGCTCTGAGCTGTCAGCACAGAGCCCGATGCAGGGCTTGAACCCACGAACTGTGAGATCATGACCTGAGCTGGAGCCGGACGCTTAACTGACTGAGCCACCCAGGCGCCCCAGACCCTCTCATCTTTAAGCTGCTGTAGGGATTTGGGGCAGCTGTGCTACCCATGGGCTGGCCTTTTCTCAAGCGGAAGCTACTCAGGAGCTTACAGACTCCACAACGAGGTGACCACTGGCCAGTGGGAAAACAGCTGAACAGGGGATCATATGATCTTGCTTCTAGTTCTGTTTTCTAGTTGTGTGACCTTAGCTCAGATATGTAAAGGTCACTTGGCTAGTCAGTAGGAGAGAGTTGGACTTAATCTCTCAGATGTTCTCCTGAAAGCCCGCTGGACTGCAAGCCCCGTCCCCAGGGCCCTTCCTTCAGGCTGTTGGCACAAGCATAGCAGAGGGATCATTGGGAACATTGACTGTGGTGCCTTCCCAGGGTACCCAGAAAATTTTTGTTCATTCGTTGATTCACTTACGCATTTCTTACTATGTGCCTAGCACTGTGGAATGCAAGGATTAATAGCCCTTCTGATTTGGAAAGGCCTTTGCTCTGTCAACCCGCCACTAGAGCAACTCTTAATTGATCATCTGTACAAAAGAAACACGGTCCCCACACAGCACTAGCCATGTACTAGAGGAGATAAGGTTAGCATTCTAAGCAGTTACAGAAAAAAAAGTACGCATTTGTACACATGCTAAGTTATAGGCTTTTGAATTGGTACCATTAAGGGGTAGTGTTCAGGGAAGATAGAAAGGAAATTGTTTTATTTTTTTCAAAATAACTTTGATTATGTAACAAGAAACAAAATAAGTTTGATTCTCTTAACTCAGGATTTCCTCTAAGATACCTGAGAGAAGATGAAGGCTGCTTTTGCCTGTGCTTGTTTGCAGTCCAGAGGAGTTAAATCGATCGCTGTATATAATCATTTCCCTTTGGGAGTTTTGTCACCTACTTACAAATTCAGTTTTGTTCCTCCATGTGCACCAGCTTCCCAGCTGTCCAGATGCTTCATGATGGTCTGTCCCACCCTGACTGCTCCAGCCCAGTCACTGGAGTATATCTGGAGTAGATTGTAGGATGTAGTTCTTCTGAATTTCAGTCTAGGTTTCTTTATATAAGCATTTGTTAGGGACTCTTAGAATTTTAGGAATTAAGACAGATAAATGTTTACGCTCCCAAACAAGTGGGTGACCAGAGCTTCTCTTTCTAATGTCACTTACCTGTCACTAACCACTTGCCTGTGTTAGACAGCGCAGAGATCTCCCGTGCGTGCGCGCATGCCTGACAGTCCCGTGGAGTCTGTCTTGGCCCCTCTGTCCCTGTTGGCAAAGTGAAATGGTGGAATTACATTTTCAATCTCTAAATTTTCTTTAGCTGTTATAATAATATGGCTATTGCGTATAATAGTGCTGTTTTTATAAATTCCTATTTTTGATTTGGTTGCTTTATTCACAAAAGCAACATAGAGTTAAGTCATTTCAGGCCTGTGTTTGTTGTAGTGAAACAACACCCGTGTTGAAACAGCACTATTGCAAACTCCGGTTAACTGTGTTCTTGGAAGGTCTTGTTCAGAGAGAAGGTTCTGCCCATGTATCTGCATGCGATTATTTTGCTCGTGTAGTCTGAGGAGGACCACTGGAATATCTTGTCTGCATCAGTCTTTCCGCGTCAGTGTGGGAAGCTTTATTTGGGGTCCAGAATGCAACACCATCAGATAAAGCAAGCAAATGCAATATAAATTGGCTTTGCTAAATATTCAGTAGAGGTATTAAGGCAAAACAGCAAAATCAAAGTACCTGACAGAGGCAGTGGTAAACACTGTACCTGGTACCTGAATGGTGTTCAAATACTTGCTGGGTCAAGCGAGAGGAGGTCCGGGGCCATGTTGTGTCTGTGTTCCAGTCCCTCATCCTGGAGTGCCTTCCTGGGCCCATTTGGGCACTCACAGCTATGGCAGGCAGGCCTGGCCGGGGTTGTGCAGCGTCACCTGGCACCAGCCAGGTAGTGGGACCCCGCCGCTTCAAAACTAGTACTAGGAATAGGTTTTGAGTTGGGGCCGGGGCGGGGGGGTTGAATGTGGTGCTAATCCTTTTATAAACCAGCCATGCCAGAATGAGCATCAGACATTATACAGGTATTTATGATATATTTTGTTTAGTGAATCCAGGTGGGCTTTGATAATTGATTGATGATTGAATCCAGAGAGATTCAGTTGATTAGTGGAGTTCCCCAACTTTGAAACTTTTTCACGAGGTTATCTTCAAGCTTTGCAACGTTCTTAGGAGAGAAAGCGGGGGGTCAACAGTGAGATGGCATATATTACTCTAGCCTAGAAAAAGAGGAGTAAACCTTGCTGTCAGCAGAGCATTCTAAATACCGGAAATACCAGTAGGCCTTCACATACGGGTTGGTCGTGAAGTACAAACGCTGGCAGGCCTAATACACTTTTTATAAATGCTGAGACTGTGAGCAGTTTAGAAAGCAAGTATCTTTATAGTAAACTACCTTTCCTTGTGACATGTCTTAGAGAACAGTTGATGTTCCCTTTCCACTTCCTGGACCGGCTTGGAAAACATGATGTGACCTGCACCGTGTCGGGTGGTGGGCGGTCTTCGCAAGCTGGAGCCATACGCTTGGCAATGGCAAAAGCTTTGTGCAGTTTTGTCACCGAGGAAGAGGTCGAGTGGATGAGACAAGGTATGTGCTGGTGGGAGTTGTAGGGGGGAGGTAGTTGTCTCCGCGTGATCTGTAAGTGTTCACAGAGTCCCGGACTAGTTACCGGAAATCAGAAAGTACTTAGAATTGCAGACTGCTGGCTTCTCTTTTTGTGTTCCAGAACCGTGACAGTGTGTTTTAGTTTTGATTTCTGTGAGGTAAATTTGAATTAGAAAAAGAAAGAAAAGGAGGTGCTCCCCAGCGTCAGGGAAAGTTTCTCTTCCAGCGCTTGCTCTTCCAATGTGTTTAACAGGTGAACTGGTGATTCTTTTATCATAGAGATTTGAACTGTTTGATGTAATGATGAAGCCCACACGGTTTCCAGCATCATTGGGGACACTTGTTACTCCACTGTGATGTGACATGAATTTTATGTTGTCTTGCTCACGGGGCGCCTGGGTGGCTTAGTCGGTTAAGCGTCCGACTTTTGCTTAGGTCATGATCTCGCGGTTCGTGGGTTCGAGCCCCGCGTCGGGCTCTGTGCTGACTGCCAGCTCAGAGCCTGGAGCCTGTTTCAGTCTGTGACTCCCTCTCTCTCTGACCCTCCCCTGCTCACGCTGTCTCTCTCTCTCTCTCCTAGAAATAAAACATTAAAAAAATTACTTTAAAAAAAAAAAAAAGCATTATGTTGTCTTGCTCACTGCAACACTCTGCCCCCATCATGAGTACAGGAGTCTGTGCAGTGTGAGAAAGACTATGCAGTCAGTACATCCATTAGGGCACTGCTTTAGCACTTCCTACAGATCGGGCAGTTCTGGTCGGATCGTCCTCCAGCTGTTTGCAAAGGGAAGAAAGTGTTGCGGGCGCTCCTAGCCAGCTGCGTGGCCTGGGCGGGTCACTTAGCACCTCTGTGCCCGCAGCTCCTCTCTGGGCGTGTAAGCTGGCCTCTGCGCCCCCTGCCCTCCCACGGGAGCCTCTGGGCCCTCACTCTGTGCTGCAGATAAGCGTCGCGTGTGGCTTAGGATAGTTGAGTTTTCAAGTCTCTCAGAAGTTCGAAGCAAATTGATTTTTAAGAATCCCACCGTTTCATGGATTCATATCTAGTCATTAAAGTAACTTGTAGGACTTGACTTAACAGCTTTGCTCGTTTGACTTACTGTGTATATTGAAAAGTAGTAAAGTATTATTACTTATAATTCAAACTAGAATTTAGACAAGTCATGTCTGCGTTTTGTCCCCATATACTGTTTTACTCCATGCCTTTTAAAGACAAGTAAATGCAAACACTTCTTTAACAAGTGATTGAAGTTTGCCGTTGCTTTATGGCCATTCAGATACTCCTAATAAGATACCTGCACCTTGTATGCAGTGAAGAGAAGTGCTAGTGTTGGAAGAGTAAAACAGACACTGAAAGACCGTGGTCTGTTTACATAGTTATAAAAGCAGTGTAAGAGCTTTCTTACCACTGGAAGTTTTGAAACCTGTGGTTCCAGCCACCACTTGGGCACATTATTTGGGGCATAACTTGAGAATTCCCTAGAAATCTTAATTGCTCCTGCTGATTAAGAGTGAAAGCTTCCAGAAGTTTCTTTTCTCAGATATGTGTGATAAGTCATGCTGCATGTGTTTATATATTCATGTTGATCTACAGTGTCCATATACTTTCTCTCACTTTACCACACCGTGCTGCTTTCTGCCTCTCTTCTCCATTGGAACTTCCACACCTGTAACAATAAGTGGGCGACGGAAGTTCAGTCACAGTGAGGCGTGGCCGCCCACACAAGAGCAGACTTAAGTTGAACAGGCTTAAAAACTGACAGGGACCCATGGCCCTCATGGGATAAGGAGAGCAGGCTCAAACAGTATAGCCGGTGTTTGTCTCCACATGGGGAGACTGTTCTCAAAGAGGGAAGGCAAACCGCGGCCATGAGATTTATTCCAGGCTGGTAGATTATTACCGGGCTGGCTGCTTTCCCGCTATGCAGCATGCAGTTTCCATGGCTCATAAAGGCTTCTCTTTCTGTGCCGCAGCTGGACTGCTGACCACCGACCCACGTGTCAGAGAGCGGAAGAAGCCGGGCCAGGAGGGAGCCCGCAGGAAGTTCACCTGGAAGAAGCGCTGAGCGCCCTTGCATGGGCCAGGCCAGGAGATGCCGCGCATGTGTGCCCGCATGCGGCAGACATCCGAGAAAGTTTTGCCAGCCACCGGGAGGGCAGCACTTTTTGGGCGTTTGAGTTGTGGGGATGATTTATTTTTAAATGCTACTTTGTAAAGGTTACCTTGTAAATAAAATTTTTAAAACATGTTTAGCTTCCTTCTCTTGCTTTATTTTTTAAACTTTTTCAGACAGCAGTTTTAGAGGCATGATTCATAGAATGTTGGCATATTAGAGCTGAAAGGAACATTCAACAAAATCTAGTCAAGTAACTTCATTTTGTAGATGAGAAGGCCCAGCCTCCAAAATGAAGGGACCTACCGGAGCTACACTCCTAATTTAATGAGAGGGAGACCAGAACTCATTTCCCCTGATTCTGAGGTTCTCCCGGCAGTTGTTGTCACAGACTGTTCCAATTGAGCGATGACGATGCTTGTTCAGAAGAATGAAGTGAGTTGTGAGCGTCTTTGTCAGGAGCTGGAGAGGACTGAACTGCTGGGCGTCAAGGAGCTCAGCGGCTTCAGACAGCGGGCCAGTCTCCTGCCAGCCCCTGGCAGCCACATCCTTGTTTCTGTGGGTCCAGCTTTGTAAAGACGCTACATAGAAGCGGTACCATGTGGTGTTGGTCTTAGTCCACCTTCTTTCCCTGAGCATCTTGCTCCCCATGTTGGGTACACACTTTCAGCTACAGAATGATTCGTTCTGAGGCTCTAACGTGGTGGTGATGATACTGTATGATGGAAATTTGCTTGGAGAGTAGACCGCAAGCATTCTCACCAAAAAAAGGTGCGAAGGGGTAACTCTGTGAGGTGATGGCTGGGTTAAGTAACTTGATGCTAGGAACCCTTTCACAATCTGTGTGTATGCGCAGTAGCTTCCCCTCACCCACCCTGCCCTCCCCCTCCCCCCTCCCCCCTCCTGGGCATAGGTTCCAAGATGCCCGGTGGATGTCTGAAAGCACAGGTAGTACCAAACCCTATATATAGCAGGGCTTTACCCTGTACATAAATATCTATGATAAAGTCTAATTGATAAATTAGCCATAGCAAGAGATTAACAATAATAAAATAGGACAATATGCTGTAATAAGAGTTATGTGAATGTGGGCCCTCAGAATACATTATTGTGCTGTACTCCACATTCTCGTGATGGCATGAGAAGATAAAATGCCCACGTGAGGCAATGCAGGGAGGTGAGTGCCCTGGGCATTGGGAAGTGGTGTTAGGCCACTGCTGACCTGATACAGTAGCAGGAGGATGGTGTACTTCCAGACAGTGGTTGACCTCGGGCATCGGAAACCACAGGTAACCACAGATGTACACCGCGTCGTCGCACTCTACATCTTAAAGATATTATTATGACTTTGTCAGTTCTGCCTCCATAAAGCTGCAGGGAAAGCCAAATGAAGTTAGTCTAATCCCTCCCTGTGTTGGGTAAACAGGGGACTACCCCAGGGGAAGTGCTCCCCGGCCCACAGGTCTCAGCAGGGGTGTCCAGGAAGGAGATCCGGAGGCCCTGAAGGAAGGTGGGTAGGCCGGGAATTCAGAGGTGGAAGAGCAGGGGTGGGGGCCCAGGTGCTGAGTCCTTGACTGCAGGTGACTCCCCGGAAGGCCGCAGTAGCCGTCTGCAGGTCAGTGGCGAGGCCTGCTTCCCCAGGACAGCCTCTCTGCCTGCGTTGGGTCTGAAAGATCACATTTCGGGTTTCTGGCCAACGGCCGGACTCCTCAGTCACGGCTTCGTGTTCACTCGAGTTTGTTACAGGATTTCTAAAGTTCTTTGAGGACCTTAGATTTTAACTTTATTGCACCTTTGCAGTAGGCTTCTGGAGGGAGAAAGGTAATTGGTGACAGAGGTACCTTACATCCATTTTAATACAATTGTTTTAACAAATACAATACTTAAAGACAGACCCTCGGTGTTCAGTTTTCCTTCCTGTAGAGAGTTATCTAATACTGATTTCTTTGTAAATTTGTCTTTAAAAAAATCTGGGGTAAGGTCCGAAACGTGTCAGATCTTTGAGCGGGACAGTAACATGAAACAGGCGCTAAGTGTCGCCGCGCCGTACCCAGTGCACTAGTCATCTCCGGCGGAATCGCAGGAAACATGTTTTCTCCTCCGCAGCCGCCCTTCTCTTGTGAAGCTGCGGCAGGTTTCGCGCAGCCCCTGCCCCTCGGAGCAGGCTTGCTTTCTCTCACCTTGACGAGACAGAAGTGTCGCGTGGCGTGGCCCCGCGGGTCTGCCGAGGGCTTGTGGGTGGCCGGTGGCCGCGGGGCCACCCCCTGCTGCGCTGCTCCTGCCTCTCTGGGCAGGTCCCTGGGGTGCTGGAGGACCTACGCGTAGGCAGCGTCGTAGGGGACCACTGTGCAGTCATGGCGACGCCAGGAACGGAGCCGCTGACCAGGGCCGAAGGACAGGAGACCCGACAGACACGGGAGTCGGGGGAGGAGGTGGGAGTGCAGACTCCGGCAGCCGGAGAGAGGCCGGCGGAAGGCAAGTTCACGGATGTTCGGGGAACGGAAGGAAACCTGCGCGCAGGAGTGCTCCCGGCGGGTGGGGGCCCGCGGAAGCCAGCCACGTCTGCGGCAGCCGGAAATGTCACAGAGATGTCGCTGCTCGCTGCCCAGGGCGATTCACAGCCTTCGAGAGAATAACGAGGGCTGAGGTCCGAACAAGGATTTCAGACTGTTAGCCACACGACTCTTCCCTATTTTAGCTATTCGGTAGGATCATAACACACAGTACAGTGGTCCTTTGAGCTGCACGGGTCAACTTACATGTGGATTTCTTTTCAGTAAGTACAGTACTGTGAACGTATCTTACAATTTCTCTTTAATAACATTTCCTCTAGCTTTATTACAAGAAGATATAATAAATATACATAAGATGTGTTAAACAACTATTTGTTACCAGGAAGGCTTCTGGTCAACAGTAGGCTATTAGTAGTTAACTTATGGAGGAGTCAGAAGTTATACATGGATTTTGTCCTGCACAGGGCTCAGTGCCCTGAGCCCCCATGCTGCACAAGGGTCCTCCTGTAACAGAATCTGTTAAGTGCCGCCTTCCTGTGAGGTGGCTCTAGGGGACACGCTCTGAAGATCTCTACCTCATGAAGATCACAGCTGTTGTGGAGCAGAAAGGACTCAACATAGGGGGCCCCTTAGGAGACGGCAGTGACACTGAGGGATCAAGCAGGGTGACCAGAAAGGGGGAGTGTGTGTGGAACGTTCCAGACACGGCCTGGACGAAGGTGACCTACTGCTATAGGAAGCAGGGGCAGATACCAAGTAGAGTAAGTGCAGAGAACTCCAAACCCGGGGAGGGCAGTTGGCAGAGGGGGCAGGGGCACTACGGGGTCTGGCTTGGGTTTTGCATTGTTTCAGGTGTTTGGGGACCACGATGTGGTGCTACCCGGCACACTTGGACATGAGAGGCGGGTGTCAAGCTGGAGGCTTGATGGGGAGGCCGTCACGCGGTGGGGCACTCGCAATGCAGCTAGAATCCACAGGGAGGGACGCATGGCAGAAAGAAGGCAGACTCTTGTCTGGAGGAATAGCCATGAGGTTTAGAGTCTGAAGGAGGGAGAAGAGCCAGAATCGGCACCGGTGACAGGGGAAGGAAAGGGATCTGGGGGGCGGAGCCACAGGTGTCCTCTCGTGTGGCCACACAGGTGCTGGCTCTGGTGGAAACACGGGTTTTGTGTACTCAGCAGGTCACACTGCCCTCCGACTCTCAGTACCCTCACATCAGATTGGGGTCTCTGTCTGCCCTGGCAGTGCCACCTGCCCTTTCACGAGGATCAAATTAAAGAAAGTGGGAAAGCAGCGGCAGCCCGTTCTGTTCCCACTGCAGTCCAGGCACCCGGCCTTCCGTGTGTGGGGACAGGGCAGCCACCAGGAGGATTAAAGTGCCTCCAAGCCCTTGTTTCTTTGCTCAGCTTGAGGCGGGCTCTTTCGCAAACAAGTGGTTCTGGGTGGAGCAGCAGGCACTCGGCCTTCCAGCCTCTGATTTGTGACCTTCTGGGTCACCTGGGTGGGGAAACTTGGGGAGTGTGTTCTGAACACCTACTGTGTATACACACAGTGTTTGGAAGGGCTGACAGGAACCGGTTTCTTTTATAAAGTAGGCATTTAACAAGATTACGGCCTCGAGATAACAGTAAGAGCTGATGGCTTCTGGGTCCTACTCGGTGCCAAATACTGTTCTAAATACAAAAAAGAACGGGCTTAATCCTTAAAGGAACCCTGTTAGATAGGTACAGAAAAATCAGTGCCAGGGAGGTTGAGTAACATCCCCAAAGTCACACAGTAAGGGAGTGGCCAAGCCAGGTTGAAACCTGGAACTGTGGCTCCAGCACATGCGCTCTGAACCCCGTGCAGCATCAAAACAGGACAGGATGGAACACGTGAGCCGCCCCGACCACCCGTGCTCATATGGTCCACGTTGTTCAATGCAGTCAGAAGCTTTGGCAGAGGACGCAGGGTTTCTGGCACATCCTAATGGACAGGTAAGCATTGATTAATTAGCATTTATGCCACTCCCTACAACCAACCTAGAGCCTTCATCGCATCCAGAGGAGTGTCACAGCTGCACCATCTCTCGATCATTAGGACCACAGTGGTGGGGAGAAGGTTCTAGGTGAGACATGAACGACAGTAGTCCAGGACAGAGCTGGAGGAAGGTGAGGCTCCACCCGTTTGCCCACGAGGGCCCAGCCCCCGCCTCTCAGTGTAAGTGGTTATCTCCGTAGAACTGCTAAGTAGTTCTTTCTTTTGCTCCCCGCACTTCAGGGCTCGTGTGAAACCTTCGAAACCTTCCCAAGGTCTTGTGGTTGGGTCATTTTTCCTAGGCGTGGGTCCGTCGCTCTCACAAGATGCCCAAAGGGGTCCCTCCCTCCCTGTAATGTTAAGAACCACTGGCAGAAGGCGGGTTTTGTTTCGTTTAAGGAAAACGAGCCTGGCCTTTGTATGCAGGCCTGACGGCGGTGGGTGAGGCAGAGCAGCTGTTGTAGGACATGGAAGAGGTGCTGCACCAGTTGAGGGCAGAGGGTGGGGAGATGGGTCCGTGGGTGTCCACTTACTATGCCTTCCACAGGTGACCTATAGGATTTTCCTTCTGTACTGTTACATGGTAAAAGTAGGTGGAAGGCTACCCGGAGGCAGTCCGTGGAAGTGTCAGAACAGTCTCTGGAGTTTGTGACCGTGACCTCGGGCAAGCTGACCTCCTTACCCCTTGGTTGCTCATTCACAAAGTGGAGAGAACAGCACATGTCCAAGGATCGTCGTGAAACCCATGGGAAGTGCTCTATGAATATTGGCCATGACTGCCATCCGTCTTTAACCTCTGCCATTCGGTTAAACAACAGTACATGGGGACCCATGAGCTTGTAAGAAGTGGTGGTGTCAAAAGGCAGTTGCCTTGAAAACGAAGGACCACGTCATTCGGTAGATGTTTCCTTTTTTTGTGGCTCGACGTTCACGGTCTACACAGAACAAACTACCCATGACGGCACAAATGGTGGAGCGATTGGATGTTGCAGACCAAGTGTCTCCGTGTCTGTGAGAAGGGCTAGGCCAGACTTGGATTCAGGAAGGCACAGATGTCGCGCGTGTCCAGCCTGGGAAAGCCCCCCAGAACCATTGGCGGGGGCACCTGGTACAGGACTGCAGGTGTTTACCAGAAAGAATCAGTAAGTTGTGTTTTGCAAACACTGAAGTCAAGTGTCTTCAATAGGCTGTACCACAGTCCCCGGAATCAACAGGCAAAGAACCATAAAAATAAAAATTGTCACCCCACAGAAAGTATGACCCTTCTGGTGAACAACTGTGTGGTGAAAAACGACAGAAGCTTCTCTTCTAAGCCTTTGGCTAAAACAATCAGCACACGACTAAAAACCGTAAATAATTTTTGAACACTAACCTAAAAAAACTACCAAACATCAGTCCTGTGCACAAAGTCTTAGAGAAGAATTTTTGCTGCCATTTCACAGGAAATAGAATACAAATGATTACTGAGGTGCAAAGTGTGAAAAAGATTTTAAAAGAAGAACTCAAGTCCCATCATTGTATTACTTGCCTTTCAATCATAAACCGTTAAGCTTCTTAAACTAAATCATCACTATGGGGCGCCTGGGTGGCTCAGTTGGTTAGGCATCGGACTTCGGCACAGGTCATGATGTCACAGTTCATGAGTTCGAGCCCCGCAACAGCTCAGAGCCTGGAGCCTGCTTTGGAGTCTGTGTCTCCCTTCCCCCTCCCATGCTCACTCTGTCTCTCAAAAAACAAAACAGGAAAACACTAAATCAATAAAATTTGTATATAAAAGGAACCAGAGATCGAGGATTTCAGTTAGGCTTAGAAGACACTTCACGTTTCCTTGTGTAAATCATAAATGATTTATGGAGCAGAAGCCTGTATTAACCACGTGTTTCTGATGTGTTCACATCCTGGGGCCGGACCTGCTGGCCTGCAACCTTCCATTCACCAACCAACCCATCCAGCCTCCACACCCCCAGCCACCGCCTGTTTTGGCTGTCACTCCCCAGGACACTCTCCTCCTGCCCTAATCACCTCAAGGCCATGTGCCAGACAACTAGGGACACCCCCTGTGTCCCAGAGCCCTCCGAAACTAGCCAACCCTAAGCCTGCTTACACAGTCTCACATGCTCCATGCCTCAAAAAACCACAATCAAAACCATGTTTTCCACTTGCTCTGTGGCCCGGCCGGCCCTGGTGCTGCCCTGCATGGCTTCGCGTGGCACAGCGTGCCCCTTCCCCTCGGGAACTGTAACGAAAGGTCTTTCCAGTGGCAGTTACCTCCTGATCTGTTGGCCTCACCCTACCTGAATCATAATAAAACCTACATTGTCAACAAGGCCTCACCCATGAAAGTCACTGCTATGCTATGATCCCTCTGTTCTACAATTGTGATGACTCTTCTACGTTAGTGCTTTTTCGTATTTGATTTTTATTCACCAAGCATTTACTTACCACAGTTGTAAGCATCAACCAGACAAGTTCCTTCCAGGAAATCTTTTTAAGATGAAGGGAAGACACCCCTTTCCCAAGTTGGTAAATTGCTATTACTTTTTTTTTTTTTAACTTATTTTTGAGAGAGTGTGCATGCAAAGAGAAGAGGGGCAGAGGGAAACAGAATCTGAAGCAGACTGTCAGCACAGAGGCTAACATGGAGCTCAAACTTACAAGCTGTGAGATCGTGACATGAGCCAAATCAGACGCTTAACCAACTGAGCCACCCAGGCGCCCCCCTGTTACTCTTCACTAATTCACCACTGCTTCAGCTTTAACAAAAGTTAGAACCACTTT